GCCCCTCCTAAAATCCTTTCATTCTCTCAAAAGTTGACAGCGTGCCTTATGTATGAATTCTGGTTGTGCTTGATGACCGCAAACCGATTTGAAGTGGTACAAGGTGTGCAGAAATCTGTCAAAAAATGTTTTAGTACAACTTTGGTAAGCTACGGAGCTGCACCACTTGTTGGATTGTCGGAGCATTACGGCTACAGAGGAACCTCGGGGAGTGATACGTACTGTGCTTCAACGTAATATTACCATATTGTGTGTGTAAATGGCACCTATTCAGAGACATGGTTACAAAGCGGATTTCAAACTCCAGGCTGTCAGTCATGCAGGAGAAGTTGGGAACAGAGCAGCTGAGAAATCTGGCTTTGTTATTATGCTCAGCGTCTTTTAGTTTACATTTTGACTGCACAATTGTGAGCTCTTTGTTATGCATAAAAACAACATTGTTTTATTTTATTTATGGAGCATTATTATTTAATAAATGCTCATAATTTATTTTTGAGTAATTTTTTCATGTACATCTATGCTGTATGTTAATAAAAGTGCCTGTGTGACATCTGGGACACCGCTTTGACTAAGAACTCTCTTTTTGTTCTTACTTTATGGCTTTAAAAAAATATCGAGATATATATCTTATATCGCCATCCAGCTAAAAAATATCGAGATATGAATTTTGGGTCATATCGCCCAGCCCTACTTCCAGCCAACCCAGGTGGCCTTGCATAGAATGTGAAGAACAGTCTAAACACAGTCGTTATCAGGGTGTTTTTGTTCAGCTCCAGCCTTGAGACTGTAGCTGGCGCCAAAGGGGTATCCGCATGAAGTGATGGTGTTTTTTTTTCTTTAGTGCGAACAACTCATATGAATTTCAAAGCTGTTCTAACAGTCCAACACTGGTCTCTCAATCTCCCGTTGGAGAGCCGTGAGCTTCTCCATGATGTTATCAAACTTACGTTCTGTGGTCTCGTCATTCTTGTGCTCAAAGAGCCGATTCTGAGAACTCACGAACGCAGTGAGCTTCTCCAAGATGTGATCCAATTTGCGCTCAGAGGTGTTATTCCGATTTTATTGGTACTACTTGAACTCCGCCTCTGGCTGCACATCGTATACTTCACTAGGTTTGTGTAAGCATTCTGTCTGGAGATGTGTGGAAAGAGCTGATATTAATTTGTCTCTGTCTGGATTCAGTTTGCACCATTGTGCTCTTTTTCTTTTGTTCAATAACATCTTACTTTGGAACATGCCACACAAAACACTAGTTCTTTATAATAACTTGTTCTGTAATATGTGTCATCACAGACTTTCTGGCTGTAAACTGTCAGAGACTCACTATGCAATCGTGGCCTCAGCTCTCATGTCCAACCCCTCCCACCTGACAGAGCTGAACCTGAATGGAAACAACCTGCAGGGTTTAGATTCAAAAAACCTTTTTGCTGCTCTGGAGAGTCCAAACTGCAGACTGGAGACTCTGAGGTTAGTTCGCTGATTACTATTTCTGAAGATATTTCAATAAATTGAACTGTAAAGCTTTCCCCTTATAACC